GAGCAATGGTAGAATAAGAATTGTGTAAGGGTACAATTTTTATTTTCCCTTTTTGCACCAGCGAACCTAGGAACCCAGCTGGGAAGAACCCAACAGCTGTTGGGCTCTCAAACCCAACTAGGAAGAACTCGATCTATTAGGTTCGTGAACCCACCAGCCGTTGGGTTCTCGAACCCAGCTGGGAAGAACCCATCGACTGTTGGGTTCTTAGGTTCGCTGGGTTCAAGAACCCAGCAGAAGTTGAAAGGGAAAAGGAAAGAGAGGAAAAAAAAATGGAACCCAGCTAGGTTCCTGGGTTTGTTGGGTTCAAGAACCCAGTGGAAGTTGAAGGAGAAGAAGAAAGGGAAAAGGAAAGAGAAAGGGAAAGGAAAGAGAGAGGAAAAAAAAAACTAAAAAAAAGGATTTTTTTTTTTTTTTTTGGAATATTAGGTGGACATGCAAAATTTTTAACCATGTCATTTATTCTTGTCTAGTTGACAACCTTTCATGTAAAAATTACACATCATGTTTTTTCGTTAATTAATGTGTAAAAATCACTAAGTGTTACAGATATTAACAGAGTTACTAGGAGATTTGACGGAAGTTAGTTTTCCGTCCAATTGGGCCTTATTTGAGAAGTTCATGGAGTTTGGAACCTTAATTGAGCACAATTGAAGTTTGGATCCAAAATTGTGAATTTTGTGTAAGTTTAGGTCCTTACGTCATATTTTTGCCTTGATTCTACGTTCAGTATACATTCTCGGTTCTGGAAACCATCGCTTGGAACTGTTGGTTGGGCCTGGATGTGTTGGTGCTGGGTTGGCTACTAAGTACTAACCATGAAGTCTAAAGCCCAAATAAACAAAGTTTAGCAACTAAGTCCGAAGCACCAACTCAAGTTTGTTTACCAACAAACTACTGTTTCGAGTAAAGGCGTTTACTTTTTCTTTAAATAAAATTTTAAATTTTAGTCTTGTAAATAAAAAAATAAATACTAAGAAAGTTTGTCCCTTAATAGAGTTTGACACAACTTGAGTCTGAATTAATTAAAATTTAATGTGGTTATTAAATACTTAAAAGTTAGTATAAAAAAAAAACTCAAGTTTATTTATATATTATATTATAAAATATAATCTAATAAAAATTTTTAATTTTACTAATTAAATAAATTGTTAAAATAGAATATTTATTTATTATTTAAAAAAATTAAAAAATAAATGAAGTTACAAATAAAATCCCTCACAATTCCTTTAGAATGGAGGAATGAAAGACATAGGAGTGAAGGGATCTCTAGCTTCATTCATCTCTTTCCTTTTCCATTAAGACTAGCTACTCAAACAAGAAAAGGAGGTATCTCTCCTTCACTTTCCTTTCTTTTTCCTCCAAACTCCGCAATCCAAAAACACAGTAAAGTCTAAATAAACTTTTTCTTTTTATGTTGCACCTTGACAACTTTCTCCATCTCTTCCTAAGCTCCTTTCACATATATGCTAATAAGGCTACAACTCGACCTCAAGACAGGGATTATTACATACCCTTTATAAGTCATCCTCACCTTTAAGGTGGTGTTTCAATTAATTAAAAATTTGAGATTTTATGGATTTATTTATTGGAGTTTTTGACAAAATATTTTTTTGTACAATTCTTTATTTAAAATTATAAATTATAAATTTTTAATTAACTTTAATTAATTTTTTATATATATTTATTAATTTTAATTAATATTTCATATGTTTTTAGATAGTAAAAAGATTAAAAAAAAATTATTGTTACAATTAAGGTTGTTAATGAATCAGGTGGAGTTAAGTATCTAAATATTTGTAATTGAGTTCGTGTTTAAACTTTTAAGTATTCGAGTGAATTTGAGTTTACTCATGCGTTTGAGTTAATATGCAATTTAACTTGAATTCAAATTTTTTTTTTAGTAATTCTAAAATATTTCAATAATTAACTATTTAACAATAAATTTTTCTACAGTTTTCAAAAATATTGTAGTATCAAAAATTTAAACAAATTAAGTTTAGCAATAAAAAACCGTAAACTCTATTTGAGTATTTTTATTAATAGTTATAATTCAAACTATATAACTTTTTAAAATTATATTTTCAACACTTTTAAGTTTACAAGTTATTTTATATATTTAAATTTAATAAATATATATAATATAAATTTTAATTCTAAAT